TTTGTTATGATAGGGATATTATATCTTTCTAATGGAGAGAAGAGGAGGAACTCAATGATCCTAAAATAATTGAAGAACCAAACCCTATGAAAAAAAAATACTGAAAGTATAAGGAACATATAATGAAGTCTACAAATTGATTATATTAATTTTCATAGGAATGAAAAATGATAAACCTTTTTAATCAATAAAAAGAAGAAAATATTATTACATAAACGAAGACCACAATAGCCAACAACAAGAAGAAGATCAAAATATAATACAAGTTGTTATAAATATGCTTAGTTTCGTTAACAGTCCAATCGTTAGACGATAGAACATCAGAAATAGCAAAAATAAAATACTGATTTTAAATTGTGAAAAGAAATTTACAAGATGTTATTATCAATCAATGTGACCAAAAACTAGAATGATGAAATTATTTGACAAGATCAACGGTCAAAAAAGCTCAAAAATGGAAATCAACGATCTATTTCTGGCTATTTTGTTATGGAGGGAAGAATGAAGGTATGGATAGATGTATAGGTAGGCAGATATAAAGAAACTTATCATAGACATTTTATTTAAATGATTAAAAAGTTTTTTATACATTGAAATTGTAATTTATTTTTTTATTTATAACAGAAATATGAAAAAGTAGTATGAAAAAAGATGAATGGAAGTGTGTAAGAACGTTGTATATAGGTTGTGTAAACTTATTATATGATGGAGGTAAAATATTGCATTTTTGGAATATTTTTTTTTAAAAAAAATTACATAATCTTTTTACCCAAATTTTACATTCGTAATGATTGAGAGAGTTTTTTTAAAATTTTTTAGATTGGTGATCTGTTTTTTTATTTTGGAATATTCATGAGACTAGTTTGTATAATTTTAGAATATTGACAACTGAAATAATACCTCATTTCAACCAATGTCCCATGATGAATTGGTTAAACAACCCGTTAAAGTATGAATTTGATAAATTAATTGTGGTTATAAAAGGGTTTAAATTTTCTTTTAGATGTTTATTCAAACCATGCGTTAATTAATATGCAACAAAATCAGACAAAGTGAGCAATTTAATTTCAGGGGGGTTTCAAGGTGTTGAGAAATTATTTGATGCCATAATTGTACTGTCGAGTAATGCGATTGCGATATCTTGCCTGTAGCCACAATATCAAACTTTACCAAATAATGAGGGCCATACCTATCCTATAAACATATAAAACATCATCCTTTGTTCTTTTTATCTTGGTGGTTTTGAAATTTTGTGAGGAGGAGATGAAGGTGGAGATGGTGTTTGTTAATTTGGCAGGTGCTGCAATCCCTGTTAAAACATTAACGACATATTGCTATATTAAAGAAAATATGATGCAGATGTTAGTGCATAATCAAATAAAAAAATACGCAGTAAATTCTCTATGAATGCGCCAAAACAAGACGTCCATGGCTGCAATATTAATATTGGCACAACCATGGTTTATTATTATCATTTTTTAAGGAATAGAAATCCGACTTGTGACTCATCAATTTTGTCGAGACATAAAGACAAACACACGTTCGGCGTTTCAACAATCCGGCTTTCTCTTGTAAAACAACAAATAAATAAATATCAAATGAGGGGGTTTTTTTTTAAAAAAAATAATAGTATGAGAAAAATATCATATTGTTGGTACCTGAAACTACCTTGTGATGTATGTTTCGCTTTGTATTTGTTTTTATTTTTTAAAACAAACCGTAAAATAGCATTGAAACTTTCAACGGCCGAGATCAACAATTTGTTTTTTTTAATTAAAATATTAAAAACCAATTAATTTAAAAAACACATTCCTCGTAAAAACAATAATTAGTAAATAAATAAAAAGCCATTCACACCTGATTAATAATATAACAATTATTAAACTGGAAAAAAAAGGTTACAAAGTAATAAATAACAATTGGTACATCAATGTAATTAGCGATTGAATTAAAATTATTAATTGAATGATACATATGGTGTGTGTTTTTGTGTACGCGTGTGTACACGATTATTATTGTTGTTATGGTTATGATTATTATGATTATTATTGTTGTTGTTGTTATTATTATTATTATTATTTTGCAATGAAAAGATTTTTTAAATCGCAAAAAAATGAAATAGGATGAACATTGGAAGGTGATCGAAGTAGAAAAAGGTAAAAAAAAAATTCTATATCGCAAAAAAAAAAACAAAAATTTAAAAAAGTCAATCGTGAAAACGAATTCAATTGGCTATTTTAAATCATGTTTCATACATGTAGATTCCGGAAAATTTCATTTTAGAAAATAAAAATTAAAATAAAATTTTTTTTTCCGTAATTCAGGGTCTTTTTTTAGAAAATAAAAAAAAACGTAATATTTTTATTTATTGTAAAAAAAAATTACTAAAATTAAAAAAAAAAATTTTATGTAATTTATTACATAATATACTATTTATCAAGCTTTTGATGGTAAATATTTATAGTTAAAAATGTAATTGATGATCGAGATACTTTAAAATAAAAATACATTAATGATTATGATAATAATAATAATAATGGTGATCAAAAATAATAATTCTATCGCAATATCTTTTATTCAAAAATTTTATATTATTTAATTTCCCTTTGAGTTTTCTATAATTATCATATTTTATTAATTAAAAAAGTGCAACAAGATGGTCTAGATGTAATTAATTGAATTCTTCTGGGATCTTCTTCGCCGTAATTATTATCATTTGTTGTTTGTTGCTTGGTAGAAGATGTGTGGGGGGGAGAGAATGTGCGTGTGAGAGAGTACGAAGGAAGGATCGAGATTTCATATTTGTTTTATTTATTTATTTACTAAGTGAAAGAGAAAATTCTCGACCAAATGTTAAAACTTGTAATATGCGTGCCACACATAAATTTCGGATCCGATACACGGAGTAAATTTTAATGACCTGAGTTGGAGCTGAGTTATAAAGTTTATGATGGGATAATTGAAAATCATAATATGCTGTATATATATTTTGGAGTAATCTTGATCCATATTTGTGATTACTAGTTTTTGTGAAACATTGCGGTCATCACGTATTATGGTGTGATATCTAAAGATTTGATTGATTGAAGAGCGTTTTTGATTTTTTTTCGATATATATTTCTTTTTTTTAATTTAAGCAAATGGACGATTAAAAAATCGGGGTAAAAAAAAAAATAACAGAGATAAACAATCATGTTATAATTATGGATAAATAATAGTTTTTTTTAGAAAGATAATAAAATAGATACGAACTCGGGAAGAATGGCGGCTAGTGGGAGAATAGTGTTGACTAAGTGGCTGACCAGCTGATTAAACTAATGAATGAATGAATGAGCGAACGAACGAACGAACGAAGTTAATTCGTTCGTGCGTATTACTAATTAGGATTATTAATGTGTAAAATCATGAAAGTTGGAAAAATCCCAAATTAGTAAAATTTTATCAATGAGCTTTGTGTTTGTGTATGCGTATTTGTGTGTGATAAGCGTACGTTTTATATCCGTATAGTATAATAAATAGTAATAGTAATATTGTTATTTGAATGCAATGCAAGTAATCGTGATATGTTGTTAAAATTATTATTATTATTATTATTATTATTATTATTATTATTATTATTATTATTATTATTACTATTAATTAAATTAAATTTAAATTAAAAAATTAATTTGTCAATTAATTGGTTATTCAAAGGGTTTTTTTGGTCATTGTCAAAATTTTAACGAGTGAAAAAAATTTATCGCGAGTACGATTAATTTTATATAAAAAAAGAAAAAAAGAAGCAAATAATTATGTAGGGTTTTTGGTTTTGATTGGCAAATTTTATTGACTTATGCAGGAATTAAATACGATAATAATAAGGTTTTATAGTTTGTATAATTAATTAATTAATTAATTAATTAATTACTATAATAATAACAATTAATGGTGAGAAAGAAAGATAGAAAGAAAACGAAAGGCCGATATTGCTTATTGGGAGAAGACTAAAAAAAGAATTCAACGAACGATCAAATTCGAATTTATAATTTTATTTTTGTAATTTTATTTGTATTATTATTATTATCATTTTAATTTTAATTTTATTACTATAATTGTTGGATCAAAAATTAACGTTTCCTTTTCTTTCTATCATAACTTTTTCACTCCCTAATAACATTACACTATTATTTCTAACATGAATTAATAATCAATTAAAGATACTGCATATTTATTATTATTATTTCCTTTTTTTTAAAAAAATAAAATAATCTAGAAATAAATAAATAATAAAACCTCCATGCATTTGATCTAGACCCCAATTACTCTCTTTCAAATCGACGACGACAAAAAAAATTTTTTATTAGTTGGGTAATAATAATAATGATGATTATTATTATTATTATTATTATTATTTATTTATTTATTTATTTATTTATTTATTTATTTATTTATTTTAATTATTGTCAAATTCCAAATATGGATATTTAATATGCCAACAATGATACTTAATATTATGGATGATTTGGCTTATTTATTTTGAAAATAAAAAAGTTTCTTTTGCAGATTCATTTGTAAAAAAATAAATAATTGAATAAATAAAAGATAAATAAATAAATAATTTAATTTAATAAAAAATTAGACGTGCGTTTGATTGTGTACGTGTGTATTAGCATGCATAAAAGTAGTATAAACTCAAGATCACAACATACACAACTTAAACACCTGAAAAATAAACTGTCGTGATGTTAAAGAAATTTTTTTAATTAATCCTAATTATGGTAATTCTTTAATATAATTTGTTTGGATGGTTTGGTTAATTGGTTTACGATTCACTACCGTATGCTATTGACATCGTCATCGTTGGTTATTGTTGATGAAGATTTTTACTTTATTTATTTGTTTATTTACAAATTATTACAGGTCGGGCGGGGTAGAAGAAATATTTGGTAAAAATTGGGTAAAAAAAAAAATAAAAAAAAATAAATTAAAATAAAAAAATAGAAAGAATAGACGAGTGTTGTTGATTGAATGTGTGTGTGTAAAAAATAAAAAAAAATAAACAAATTGTAAATTAGCGTACCAGTTAATTTGTCGCGTAAAACAAAGTTATTAATAATTGATTGGTTGATTGGTTTTCATGATAAAAATAGATAAAATAACAAATATAAAAAATAACTTGACCATTCAAGACAAAATAGTCGAAATAGTCAAAATCATAATAACCAGTATGCAATTGATGGAGAAGATTTACGTGATTATTCCAATTTTGTACCATAAGATGGTTCGGTTAGAACTAATAATTTCTTGTTGTCGATGGCAAAAAAAGGAATAATAATAACAAAATAACTAATACAAAATAATAACCAATACTACTACTAGCGGCAACCATTCTGATTATTATCACATGCCGACAATGTCATAACAATAAATGATTATTTGCCACCGATCATTCATGCATAACAAGCAACTTATTCAACTGTTGAAAAGGGAATTTTATAAAGAAGGGTGAAGAACCGATTAAAAGTAGACAATTAAGATCATACAATTCGAGAAAGACTTATTTTAATTACCATTATTGTGTTATTATATTACCTATATTATTATTATTATTGTAATGTGAATAATTTACTATATAACGACAATAAATTGTTTGTATAATTCGATTGATAACTCTTTTCACGCCAAATATATCCTACAAGGATGCTTTTTAATTAATTAAATGTTTTTGGTCTTCCCATAAAAACTTAACAAATCTCCGATTTTTGTAAACACAAAAAACTAAACTATCACATCGTAACGCATTTTTATTTCTTACAAATGACATTTCCGTGAATTGATTACTGATTACTGATTATTGATTATTGATTATTATTATTATTGATTATTGATTAATTTGGGGCTGATCAATAAATAAAAATTTTCTAATTTGAAAAGAAACAAGTTTATTTACAAGTTTTGGTCATTCATTTTGTTTTAATATAGAATTTACGTGTTTTATTTTATTTTTTTTTTCTCAAATAATAATAATAATTGAATTTACACACCTCATTAACAAATAAAGTAATATAATTAAAATTCTTAAAAAAAAACATGGTCAAAATTGAGTTTTAGTATGATATATATAAAAATTAATTGTAGTAGCTAGCTTACGTACGCACTTTCTCGGATTGATTTAGCGCCAACAAATAAGCGGTCAGCACATCTATCTTCATTTTCTCCGCTTCTATGTAATTTAAACCTGTTACACAAAACAACAATGAACATCGTGTGTGTGTGCGTGTGTGATATATATGATATAGTCATAATACATTTTTGGACATAAAATTATTAATATCGTGGTGGCTGTGTCTAAATCTTGGTTATTTTTAGGATAATTTTAATTTTAATTGTGTTCTTGTGCACTGAGGCTGAAATTTTTTCCCATTAGTATGAATGAATGAATAAATAAATGTATGAATGAATTATTATAAATGATTCACAACTTACTGTATATAGCCACAATCACATACCACAAATTCTAACCACTTTTTAACCCCGCATTATCTCGCTCTTTACCCTTTGATGTTTCATACGAATGATAAAAATTATGATGCGACCTAATGATATCGTTATATAGTGAGAAAATCACATAATCATAATAATAGAGTAATAATAATAATAATAATAATAATAATAATATAATAATAATAATAATAATATAATAACAACTACAACCAACAACAACAATAATAATAACAGCAACAATAATAACAATATTTTTATAACAAGATTTGTTATTATCACACTCCATTATAAATCTATTTTTTGACTTCCCGTTTCTTTTTTTGTCTCCCTTCATATTCGCGCGAATCGCGGTAACTGGAATAATATATCGCCACTATCACATAATTTACCAATGAATTAATTAAATTATTAGTTATCCTGAGAACCACCTGAGTCAAAGGAGTTGATCGATTAATTAATTATTGAATTGGTTTGATAAGTTTAGTTAGATTTGCTCGGTTATTGATCATTTGATTACCAATTTTAATTGACTTTTATGATCTGACATTCAATCAATCAAGCAATCAAGCAGGTAACGAGAGAATGTGTAGAAACTATTATTATTTTCTAAACAACCCAACTAATTTGTAAGTAGCCGAAACAAGTATAAAATTAATCAAAGAAATTTAATAATTACTTGCCACAAATTAATATAACGTAATGTGCCACACATGCACATAAAAGTAAATTACTATTATTACTGTTTTGATTTCATTCATCCCATCATTTAGAAAAGGGTTTGACCAAGAACATCTGTAGATCTCTCTGTAGATCTTCAAATGGAAAAAATCTTTCTCAATCAACTAGAAATAAATGATGTAATCTACCGTCATCACCGTCACATAAATGCTATCATATGTCGTAGTAATCAACAAAGTTTAGGTTTCCTTCATAGTGAGATCTGCAAAGAATGCCGTAAATAATACTTTGAAATTGACGCCTTTTTTAAAAATCATCATTTTAATTACGAAATAAATACCTGACCACACTTATCATTATTCGATTTTAAATAATTGGAGTGGTGTTAACATCGTATCAAAACAAAATGTTATACAGTATGCCAAGCCACAAACTGACCTATTTGAGCAACTCGTTAATCAGAAACTTGGCAAATTGAGTGAATGAATTTGTTAAAAGGTTTCATTCATTGACGGAAAATTCCTCCGTATCGACGGAGACCTAACCCCCTATTACTATTGTTACTATAGTTAGATTCCGTTCCCATTTGCCAAGCCTCATATATTCTCCTTTGTTTGCAGGCTGATGAAAATAATTATATGGAGTTGTTAATTTAGCGTATCTTTTGTTTTCAACTCCTAGTTTAGACCCGAGCATGGAGTAACGATTCCACTCCCCGACTTATTAGGAGTTTGGTATGATTTTAAAGAATGCATATAAAGACGAATCTGTTGTGAACCGGAGATATAGACGTCTACGATGCATGGGAATCCATCTGTCAATCAATCAATTGCATTGTCAAGGTATTTTGATTTGGAAAACAGAAAGAGAGGATCGCCACCATATTCGTTCATATTATACAGCTTTGCAGCAGGAAGCAGAAGCAACGAAATAATTTATATGGTCTTATGGTGAGTGATACAAGGATAAAATCCCATTATTACAAAAAAAAATTACACTAATCTTTTCATTCAAACGTGCAGCTGATTTTATAGTCTAACCTTTTTTGTTAAATTTTATTTATTATATAATAAACACAATACTATATACAATGATTATACAACAACTGGTAATACTTTATATATTAATATAATACATGAATGACAGTTAATGAAATTGTGAATGAGCGAGTGAATGGGTGAGTGAATGGGCCATTTTGATTTTTTGACGTGTCATAGTTTCATGTGATACCGATCGACAAATTTATATTATTATTTTTTACCCTTGAAATCATCCGATTTAGCCAATTTTAAACTCGATCACATAGACGGATGGATCGATGAATGGATGAATGAACGAATGTTATTTACATAAAAACTGAGCCTAATAATCAATCTGAAACATAAAAACTTGACAAATATATAATGAAGGCGCATGTTTTTATGCGTGCGTGTATTATTTTGACAAAAACAACAACAAACAAATGATTATTAATCAGATTGTGGGGATTAATTGTAAACTCAATCAATTGATAAAAAAGTTAACTATGAACTGATTGAGCAAAAGTCACACTCGCACAAAAATACACAACACGCAACACATACACATACACAAAGCACACACACACACACGTACAAAAAAAAACACACACGCGCACACACGCACACACGCACTAGATTTCTTATTTGTCTGATTTTTAGCACTTATAAAATATGTGTATATATAAGACATATTTGATCGATTAATGGAGTACTCGATTTATTGTAACAGATATAATATAAAAATCCATCGTTCATTGGTTTATAAATTTTCAAACAACAAATAAACAAAAAATTAACTGGCGGATAATTTGGATAGATGGATGGATAAATGTTGATGGATGGGGCGGGGTGGTAATAAAGAATTGAATTCTTGGGGGTAGGGGGGATGAATTAACGGGCTGATGGATTGATTGATAATCAGATTGTTAAACAATAAAAATTGCACGAATGATAATATTTGTGATGGATTATATATATATAATAACAAACATAAATTTAAAACATCTAAAATGCGTAATTTTAGTACATATCAAATTTTTAGCGGAGATATCATTCAAGTTAGTTATTGATTTGACATCGTATCAAATCCGCGAAAATATTTTTTACACAAATAAAAAAAACTCGCTGATATACACGTTCGTAATAGGTGTGAATGGAATTTTACAAAATTAACAATCATTGACGAATTATTATTAAATGGTCGTATGTGTGTGTGTGTGTGTGTGTTTGTGTGCTTGTGTGCTTGTGATTGAGAGAGTAAACGGATGTGAAAGAAACGGAGACTTTTAAATGAATAGATAAATAAACATTATTCGTGTCATCCATCATCCACCATCAATCATGTTAATCATAATAATTATTACTTAAAACTGTCATGATTGCGATGATCACGACAAATATGCAACTTATTTTCTCGTTTCTAAATTGCTTTGTTATCCTTAATTTTTAATTACAATTGATCACTTTAGTCTAATATATATGGAAATGATCACCAACAACAAATAAACAAATAAATTGTGATGAATGAATGACAAGAAATTAAGTTTAATTTAAAATGAGTTGACGGGTGCATTAAAGTGTATGCATGTGTGTATGAATGAATGAATGCAATTAAGTAGGTGAAAGTTATGCACAAGAATTACAAAAATCGACGTGAAAGAAGATCTTTATAAAATACAGTAAATGCATTATGGTTATCTATTATTAATATTAATTAATAGGATTCCTTTTCTCCCCTTCCTTTCTCATACACGACTTTTCTTCTTAACGTCCAATTCCTGTTAATTCACGTAACAAATCAAAAAATTAGCAAAGCCCATGAAAATTTCCATTTTACACGATCATCACCATGTTACACGCGAATAAAATAAAAAATTTGATCGACAATTATGAACGCTAGTACATATTAATATTAATAGTAATAATAAATAATAAATAAAACAGTCTTTCTCTATTATATTGCCGGGAATAAATAAAAATATCCTAGTTTAAAATTTAAATATCAACAAATACTATATATCTATATAACTTGCAAAGTGTGTATTACAGCATGGTGGCTTATCGATTGATATATCTATTACGGGTTTCCTAATACTATCGTTCTTTTGCTCGCTCCTCTTCTTCATACTTGGCGAATCTGCAGGTTGAATAAATAATACAATACGTAACAATAACAAATAACTCCTGTAAACCCTAAAAAGTCTTTACAAACGATTACAAGCTTACTTTGCTTGCAATTCGCGGCTCGTTAACATCTTTAGAATAATACAAAAGCAGAAAACCGAAATACCTCTACTTGGTTAATCTAATGTCTACGGCCGAATCACAAACACAATACTTTACTTTGTGCATTGCATTATACCAAATCCTCGCACACTATACCTGAACCTTACTGCTCTAACCAACCAGACTTTTATACCCAAGGTCCAACTAACCTCATACTATAGATTCATACACACACAAAAAAAGCAACAATTTACAACAAAAACAAAACGTGGTTTTTAAATTTTAAAATTTTAAAATAATAATAAGAAACGATTTATTACCGTGTAACCAACATTTGACCAAATAGTCAACGCATGTTACAAAAATACTTTTGCTAAATTCGTCATTACATATAAGCGCTGATACAGTAGATTAACATGCAGATTAATCCTCCTGGTTTTTTATTTTCATTGATAAAAATGGTTTCTTTGAAAAAAAATTACTTTATTGAGAAAAATTAAAATTTTATGAAATCGATCATCTCCAATTTCTGGGGAGTGTATATTTTTTTTAAAGTAAAAACTTAAATGGAGAACACAAAACATTTTTTACCCCCAGGACACATGCAGAAAACAAATAAATATGTGGCATACAAAATTTCTTAACGCATTGTTACAATTTTTATTTATCTACTGTATTTATTTATCCTGAATAATAATTGATAATAACTATTAAGCATCATAACTCCTTCCTAATTCACACAATCGAATTCACACACAAAACCAACTCCGCTTAACCATTCAATCCCATCCAATTTGCTGATTATTTATTTGCTATTATTGTTTGTTTCCTTCTTGATCGATTAATATGGGAAGTTACGACCGATGTTTTTTTATCTTAAAATTAATTAATTAATTTACTCGATTAAACAAATCGATTGATTTGTTTTCCTTTTTTAATTATTAATATTTTCATACATTCCTTTTCAATGTTTCCTCGCCACTACATAACGACAACAATACATTATTGTCAGTTTGATTGTTGTTTAATTGATTTATTTGATTTATTGATTTATTGATTGATTGATTAATAATTAAAATTAATTAACTAATCAATTTTATTTATTTTTTTAATTAATTCAATCAATTTTATTTATTTATTGCATTATTAGAGAGTTAAAAAGTTTTAGTTGGTGAAGTTTGGTTCTTTTATTTGGAGATCCTTTAATTTATTCCTAAACAAAGAAATCCGTAAATTCTGTTATCGGGTCAAAATATACTGGTAAACTTGATAAGGTGATCCGACTTATCAAGGAATCTGAGTTAAAAATAAACCAAAAAATTACTATTATCCATGCTATTTTGTTTTAAAGAATTTCTCTGTTTTCCATTTAAATCTCAACCTATTTTTTGATAATTGTTCATGATACAAACAAAATGTTCTGATATAATTGATAGCAATAAAATATATTATTCCTTCTAAATTATCAAATGATAAAATTGATAAAATTGAGATAATAAATATATTATTCAAAGATAAATTTTTTTTTACAAAAATCACATGGATCAACTTATCTGGCTAGAGCCTATTACTATCAGGGAATTTTTGACCGAGTTGGGCCAAATCCGACTTTATGTTAAATTTAATTATATGATTTGATAGCTCACATCGAGAATTTTTCACGAGCTTGGTGGAATCGCTGGACTTTTATATGAACACCTAGTTTTAAATTTTTGCCGCATTAATAATAAAATAATCACAAAAAAACATTTCATAAATATATCTTTCAAAGAAAACACTTTTTAAAAGGCAAGCAACTCTTGTGAATGAATGGGTAAAACTCATGAATAAGTGAGTAAGCGCACAAACAAGTCTATGAACTCATGA